AGCACTTCGACAACAACAAGCGCGCAAGAGTCGGAGGATGAGGAGGGCAGTGATGATGAGGAGCACAGGGAGGAAGGCAGTGATGATGAGGATCAGGAAGGGGGGGAAGAGGAAAAAGGGGTAGAGGAAGAAATGGAGGAAGTGGAAGAGTGCGATGGTGGTGACGTGAAAGGCGACGCACGGAGGAAAAAAAAGAAGGAAGAGCCGAGCCTCGCACCGCAGAAGCAAAAACCCAGGCAAGCCTCCAGCCCCAAGGGCTGGCTGAAGATCAAGAAATCAAAGTCCACAGAAGCCATGGGAAGCAGAAAGAAAACAGCAGCGAAAACAATGCCAAAGAAGTCGTCGCAGCAGATGAAACCAAAGGTGTCAAAGACGCCAAAGGCAAAGGCAAGGGCCAAGGCCAAGGAGGAAGAGTCCTCTCCGCCACCTGCAGCCGCTCCATCAGAGCCCTCGCGTTATTCAACATGCGTTGATCCCCCCAACAAAACCATATCTCTCGACAGAAAAATATTTTTGCTTAAGGTTTGGAGTCGCCTGGGCAACCATTTCTGCTTTGCTCAGGATGCCAAACCATCCAGCAGTGGCTTCTCTGAGGGCAAGGCTATGCAGAGCATCCAGGCGATGATGCCGTCACTGCCTGAGCACGGCTTTGTCACTGACATGATCTTGAGAGCCGAGCCTTGCGCAGGTTGCCAGGTTGAGCTTGAAAGACTGTTGGTCTTCTTTTTCTGCGGCAACATGTCTGAACAGGTGTTTCTTTTCCTCCCATGTCTAATCAGGGTTTATGTGAGGACCTTCCGCTCTTGTTCAGGCTTTCGGCCGCAGCCCTTGACATTGACCGCGACACCACCCAAGCCTACTGAATTCGAACATGGCTGGTCGCAAGACCACAAGCTGGCCTGGCGCAAGGAGCTTTTGGGAGGGAGCCGCAAAGGGCCCATCGAGTTCAGCCTGAAGCCGTCCCTGGACCCATCCGGCGACCACTTGGCCCCTCTGGTGTGCAAGTTCAAAGATGGCGCAACTTTCGTTGTGGAACACATCACACAGGCGCCTTTGGCCAATTCGCAAAAAAAAGCAACAAGGCCCCTTCAGGGGAAGGGGTGGTTGTGTTTCCCAGGAAAATCAACACGGCGTTCTGCCGCAGAACTACTTTCCATGCAAGTTTCCCACCTTTAGCAAAAAATGATGTCAGCCCCCAAGAAGGACATCTAAACAGTTGCTAAGTTCCCTTTCGCCCTGTCTCGCAGGGAGATTGGCGCCAGCTCATGAACGAGGCGCCGAAAGCCAAGGCCAAGGCCAAGGCGAAAGCAGCTGGGAGCCCGCGCCTAGCTGGCGATTCTGAGGCCAAGCCTGCGCAGGAGTCCACGCTGTTGGACGAGGGCTACTTTGAGGGTGTGGGTGCAGCTGGAGCTGCAACTTCTGCATGGAGGGTTGTCTTGAAACCTCAAAATGGCCGAGCTGACATTGCGGTCTGTTTGAACAAGAAGGGTTCACACAAGTGGCTCCAAAAGTGCCAAGTTGTGGTCGGGGCCCGTGTTGAGTCGGAACATGCAATGGGCATCTTGAAGATCATCGCGGCCGAAGCTTCAACGGGTTCATTGGGGGAGGACGGCGTCAAGGCCCGCAAGGCACAGCTTGTGAGTCTTTGCATCAGTGGCAGCCTGCTACCTTATTTGCAGAAGGATGCCAAGACGGATTATGGGGTTGCCACGGACCCAGCTTTCATTCAGTATTTGGAGCAATGTGCGACAAAGCCACCTGAAGGGGAACATGGTCAGCCAACTGGGGGGAAGGTGCCAGATCCGCCAGCTGAGGGAAAGGTTTTGCAGGCACCAGATCCGCAGGGAAAGGTTTTGCAGGCGCCAGATCCGCCAGCTGAGGGAAAGGTGCCACATCCGCCAGCCAAGGGAAAGGCGCCCGATCCGTCAGCTGAGGGACAGGTGCCTGATCCGCCCTTCACTTCCAAAACTCCCGAGGAGCTTGAGACTCAGCCTAGCACGCCTCCTTTGCTTGGCGGATATCCGCAAGATGAGAGCTTGGACACCAACACCCAGCTGGACAATATTGATACCTTGAGGCCTGTTAGTTCAATCAAGGGACACTCAACACTTCCCTTTTGCTTGCAGGTGACAATCTGGCGTCTGGCGCCCTTGCTTGGCTCTCAATGCTCATTCAGTTGCAAAATTACGCATTGCAGGTAAGGAAAGAAATTTCCACTTGGGAGCTTATTGCAAATGCCCGGATTGGAGTTTATCCATGAACAGCTTGTCGAAGTCTCTCCTTATTTGGACGCAACCCCTGAAATGCTGATTTTCTATCACCCCGCCCGGCTTTCTGGAAACTCTCTGCGTGAGCCCCTGAGCCCTGACCCTCTCCCAATTTGCCGAAGGTCGCCGCCTGGGGCGCATCGTTGGCGACAGCGGTCCAGACCTCAGCCGGCGCAGACCGTCCATTTAGCCACTTGAAGCAAATGTGTCTCTAGGGTTGGGGTGTCTGGAGCATCAGTCGTTTCTCTCAGGTGGGCCTATCGAAGTCTTTCGCTTGAATTGGTTTTAAGATTGATGCGTTCCTGAAAGAAGCGCGGTCGCTTGAAACAGAATGGAAGTTAGGGATTTGCCGGCTCTATTGGAGGGGTAGGGGAAAAAGATCTTTTTCCCCTACCCTTGTTTTGAAGTTTGGGGGGCATTGATTATGAGCATCCATTTGGGGGGCATTAATTATGAGCATCCATTTCATTTGGGGGGCATTATTATGAGCATCCATTTGGGGTGCAGTATGAGCATCCATTTGGGGGGCATTAATCTCGCTACCGATGTCTAAGGGGCAAATCCTGTGGAAGTCTTTCGAGATGTGCTTTAGATGCTTTTAAATCAATTTGGGGTGATTCAGGCATCGGTCGCTCGAGATCTATCTGGGTCTTCAAGCTTGATCAGGTTTGGGGGATGTTGCCGAATTGGTCACTGAAATAGGATTATATTGGATGTGTTTCTGGTGTCAGTGCATCTGTGTGTGTGTGTGTGAGCGCCCGCTGGCGCACGCTTATCAAACGCAGCGCTTTCCAGTTCAAGATGAGCAGATCCAGAAGCCCCCCTCGGAGCTTGCTCCGTACCATGCTTGGTTTTTTCCGGTTGACAGAGCTGACCGACAGGGCCTCCTTACGGAGCACATCTGGCAATCGCCCAGCTACTTCTGCTGGGCGGAACATTCCAGATGCCCGCCTGCAGAGCAACGCGGAAGACCTGCCGCAGCAGAGCAATCCACTTGCTTCATCCCGGAGCACTCCAGACGCTTCACCCTGGAGGAGCACTCCAGCTGCTTCATCTTTGCAGAGCTTCCCAGCTGGTCCATCCCAGCGGAGCGCTTCACCAGGGAGCTACCCAGATGCTTCGTCCGGGAGCATCCCAGATTCTTCAGCCTTCCGGCGAGATCCGAAGGATCCAGATGATGCTTCACCCCCATGCAGCGACCCAGATGCTTCAGACCCAGATGCGTCACCCGGAAGCGATGCAGAAGCTGCTTCAAGGAGGTCACTGCTGCAGGCTGTGTCATTTGACAGGCCTGATGCAGCGCGAACGCCATCTTCCTCGCGGGCATCTGTGTGCATGGGTGGCCAGCCTGGAGCTGATCTGCATTCTGTCCCTGGGCAGCAGGCACTGCTGTTTCTTCTCAGAGCGATAGCTGACGCGGAGCGCAGACCAGCTGACAGCTTTGGCAGCTGCCCAGCCACTTGCCTTTTTTGTGACTGCGCCTGCAATTTGAGGGTGAGGCACTGGTGCCACAGGTGCGACGCGCACAAGCACACTTAGAGGATCAAGGGAAAATGCTCATTTGTGCACGCGTGTTGCTGTGTCGATTTTGTAGCTCTATTCGATAAAGTGGCTTGCGCTTTGCCCAGGTTGGATCCAGCGACCCGGATTTTGCGGGGGCCTCATCGGCTTGTGCTTCACTGTTTCACGTCACACTGCCAGTTTTTTTGGTTTTGGAAACAGAGATAACAGGGCGCCGCCCAAACTTGGCCTTTAAAGCGCAGGGTTTCCGAAGCCCTTCTTGTAGGAAGTTGCGCAGGAAACAATCGCTGTCCATGCTTGAACTCAGGCCAGCGCCGCCACGACAGTCGCTTGTGCAACAGTGCTCAACTCAGCTGGACTAAAAACCGTGATGCAGAGTATTCCTTTTTTGTTTAATGGCCAAGCTCCCGCGCTCTGTCTGTAGACCTGGCCCAGGTCTGCGCCTGAGCCGGGGATTGCTTGCCGCTGCTGAGCCTGTGCGCAACTGCAACTGCACACACAGAGTCCTGAGCGAGGCAGAAACATTCATAAAGCAATGCATGTGCTTGCTATGGAAGTATGGAAGGTTTGTCACTAACCCCTCAAGACTCAAGCAAAAGCAAACACAAGTGTCTCGCACACGAACACAGAGCAACAGGCAGACAGGCGAGCTTGGCTGTGTCACCTTCATGGTGCCTCATGGCGCGTTCTTACTCAAAGTTGAAGCGATGTGGAAAAACGTGAACTTTGCAATGCTGCAAGGAAAATTGGGAAACGATGAGTGCCCGATGAGGTCACCCCAAAACCAGCGATGAGGCTCCGATGAGGCCCCTCCATCCTTGTGGATTTCAGTATGCAATTAGCCTAGCAACCATCGATGAGCCCCCGATGAGGCCCTCACATGTAGGCGGTGATCCTGCAATGAGCCTCGGGCGCAGGAGCGATGATGGTCCGATGAGGGGTTCATGGCTGAGTGCGATGAACATGCGATGAGGGGGGTCCACATCTGACTTTCTGAAAAGGAAACATAAAGGTAACCAGCGCGATGAGGGTGCGATGAGCCTTGTTTTTCACAGCGATGAGGGGGCGATGAGGCTTGCAGGGGTGTCTGTGGAGAGCTTTTTTGGCTGGAAGGTGAGCGAGTCGGGACTTGCAAGCATGGCAGCGGCAGTTGAAGCAACGCCAGCAGAGCAGTCAGCGCCAGCGGCGGCAAGTGGAGCTCCAGAGGTGGCAATGACGCCTGCGGAGGCAGGTTTACAGGGCGCGTGTCTGGAGAAGCCTACTCGTGAGCGGGCCATCCAGCAGTATGCTCTCGCGCACGAGCTGTCACCTTCCGAGGTCACCGACGACCTCTTGGAGAAGAGTGAGCTGGGGATGGAGGGGTGGGCGTGCAGCGGCTTGGATGTCAACGCCAGGGGCCCCGTGGGGAACGCGATGTACCGGTCCTTCGGCAAGCACCCCAACATGAAGGAGACGTACAAGTGGCTCTTCGATGATTTGAAACGCAAGTTTCGCTGCGCTTGGGCGACGCATCGCAACTTCGACTTTGTGGTCAGCAAGCGCTTCCACGAGAAGCGGGAGAGCACCAAGCACCAGGAGCTGGGGTCCTTCAAGAGCGAGCTGCAGCTGCAAGCGCACCTTGGTGGAGTGGGCGTTCCGGAGGCGGAGAGGCAGGCCAAGTGCTACATCAAGAACTGCGAGAAGTGGCCGGACCGTTTTGCAAAAACCGGGCGCATTGGTTTAACCTAGCAAATTTTGCGTTGGTGTCACTGGTGGCGTTGCGTGCTCTGCAGGAAGTCTTCGTGAAGTGGAATGACTGGACGGAGGCGTACAACTACCTGCTGGTGGAGAAGCTGGTGACAAGCACCAACGAGGAGAGCTGGAAGGATGTCGTGGCCATGCACGACTCGTCGGCCACCTTCGAGACAGAGTCTGTCAGGTGTAAGGCCATGAGGAAGTTCGCGGCCTTTCACAACAAGGCGGTGGAGAGCTGCACCATTGAGGAGGTGGTGGGCAGCCCGCACGGCATTGCCGGTTGGGCCGAGATGCAGATTGCGGTGCCGGGCGTGGATGACGGCGCCGGCTCAGCCCCGGGGACCCCTGCTCCCAACGCGAGCGATCCAAAGGAGAAGCCAAAGAATTCGAAGGCTCGTGGAGGTGCGAAGGGCGCCGCAAAGCCTAAGGCGAAGAAGGAGCTGAGCCAGGAGAAGGAAGCGGAGAATTTTGCGAAGGAGATGATGTGCAAGGTGCAGAAGTCGCAGCAGATTATGGACAAGATCCTGAACCTGGGTGACGACCTACCGTCGGCGTGGAAGTGGGCCAAAACTTTCTTGCAGGACTACGCGCAGCTTACCGCGGAGTTCAAGGATGCTCTGAGCCCGAAAGAGGGCGACTCCCTGAAGGACTTTGTGGACGAGCTTCGCCTTACCCTCATCAGCCCGGCAAATCTCAAAACCTTCAAGAAGCTCTACGGGGACCGGTACTTGCCGTTGATGTTGTTGTTCCGGGACCGCTGCCAGAATATAGTTGCCCAGACCCTCACCCGCATTTGAGGAAACATGTTGAACAACTGTGAAGCTTGAACCAACCAAGGATGGACTCTGTTGCCATGACCGTCCACAACATGAGCAAGGCGATGAATGGGCCAAGCCAGCCTTCGAGCAAAAGGGCCCGGAAGTCTCACTGATTTGATTGTCCAGGGGATCACTTGAAAAGCTCTACGCAGCTCCAAGTGCCTGAAGCCTCGATGAGGCCATCAACCAGGGGTGCCTTCAAGACAAAATCTGAGTCCCTGGCTGTTTTCTTCAGTCTGATAGGTCATGCTTGATGTCGCACACCAGGATGTTGAGTTGCAGGCCTGATGCATGATCGAATCGCTCGCAGCGAAGGGCAAAGAGTCCCGGAGTCCTCAACCCCAAAAAAGGCAAAAAAAAACAAGAGGAAGTAGGTTGGATCCTTTTCTTGGCGTCTCCGGGTTCCTTTGGGGGGATCTCAGCCACCATATTTTTCCGTTGGGTTTCACAGAAACACCCTTTGCGCAGCCCTAGGTCCCCCCCCTAGGGCTGCGCAGCCTTAGGGTTTGGGTTGAACTCTTGAAACCCTACAAAGCTTTTGGGGAACTCAACAGACACACCCACAGATATCTTTCTCTACAAGCTGTCACTTTGCAGATTCAGTACTAGTGGAAATTCAACGCACTTACCCTTAAAGGAAGCAAACATGTTCAAACGTGCCCGGGTCATCAGCCATGACCCTCACATGGATGACTCCGTTGAAGATCCCGCTGTGGGCTTAGTGAAGATCGAAGCTGGCAAACAGCTACGTCGTTGCCTGCTGGAAAGGTTTTGTCTTGATGGAATGCCCGCCTCAACAGTTGCTGTCATTTCTTACTGGTGCTCCAAAGCCGGGGCAGTTGGTGTGGAGGATCTGGCAATGGCCCCGGACCAGGCTACAAAACACGCAAGTGAGCATATCAAAACAGTGGCTGGCAAAATCTACCCTGAACCGAACTTGCATCAGGTTTCAAGTCCAATGTACATCAAACGTGAGGCTCGACGAGCAAAGCAGGAGATTCCAGTTTACATGCCCTCCCAGGCCTTCAAAGATCACGTTGAGGCAACCGCTGAGCAAACCAAGACCAACATGCCCCGACTGATTGGGAACATCAGCAGTTATTGGAACCACCCCGTGGTTGTCAAAGCCATGCAGGAGAACAACCAAACCATGGTGCGGCCGATTGCTTTGTATTGGGATGGAGTGCAATACACAAAACGCGACAGCTTCATGGGCTTCTACGTCACTGACATTTTGTCAAACAAGAAGTTCCTGTCCTTCCTCGTCCGCACTTTGGCTTTTGATTTGCAAAATAGCTTTTGATTGGACCTTCAAACGGGCTATGTGCTTGATCAACACTCTTTCAATGGTGGGCAGGCAGCGACGAAATGTGCAGCTGTGGATGCCGAGGCTGGTGCACATTGTACCCGCTTCTCGAAGCCTGGGCGGTTGATTTGAAGAACCTTGAACAAACCTGTCCCATTCGATACGCTGTCATCGACATCCAGGGAGACTGGCCGGCTTTCCTTCAGGTCTTTGGTTTGAGATACTGGGCCCACAAGACCCACCCTTGCCCTCTCTGCACTGTCAACCAAGCTCAAATGCAGGAAGTGGATGTGAACAACATCACGCTTGACAGTTTAATGGCTCCTGAGTACACAACCGAAAACTATGCTCAGGATGTTGCTGACAGCGTTCACAAGGTGCTCATTCGGGACGTGGCTGACCGATCTGCTGTTTTTCAACAACTGGAGTATAAAGAAACCCTGAAGGGCCGTGTGCTGACTGCAGCTATTCCAGAACTCGGGTTGCCCAAACATGCTCGGCTTCTTCCATCACGGTCTCTGCCTGACGTTGGCGATTTTGAGACAACACCAACCCCTTTTGAAGCAGTTTTCTGGACAGCTTCACTGGACGCCCGCCTTACGCACGATTGCCCTTTGCTGGCTATTTCAGGTGTTGGGCTGGAGTCCTTCAGTTTGGACATCATGCACACTTGGCATTTGGGGCCATTACAGCTGTTGGTGTCGCTATGCATCAATTTTTTTTTGGGCACGGGGCTCTGGGGCAACAGCACTCGCGTCGGCGCCGCGGACAAGAAGAAGCTCGCTCTCCTGGCCATCAAGTCTGAGCTTTTCCAATGGTACAAGGAGAAACGAAAAGATCCTGATTGGAGGGCAAAGGGAACCGAAGACTCTTGGCTTTACGTTGGTCAGTTGTTCTGTTCTCATGTTCAACATGTCAGCTGTGTGACTTCTGGAAGAGTGGTGTGATCATGTCCATGTAGGTAACCCTTAACGCAACCGTCTGAGGTTTGGAATCTGACGCTCAACATGATTGGAACCACTGCAAGCCCGCACCTGAGCTGCAAAGCTGGGGAATCCCATTGCCTGGCACAGTGGGTGGCTCACATGTTTGAAGCCAACCTGGCAGACTTTCAATCTTTGCAGCCCCCAGATGCCCGGCAAGCTGAAAGGTTGCACGTTGCTGCCAAAGCAGCTCTTGATCTCAACACAGTTTTTCAAACAGGGGAGCGGTTTCTGAGCCGCGAGCAAGCGCAGAAAGCGTTTGGCTTATATTGCCGGTTTGTCTCCTTTTACAAACGTGCTGGGGGCCCGGTGACTCCCAAGATCCATTTCATGTTGCACTTACTTTCTCGCAGTGTCCAGAAGGGCAATCCCAAATTTTACAGCACCTACAAGGACGAGAGTTTGAACGGTGTCATTGCAAAGATTGCCCGATCTTGCCATAGGCGGACGTGGCACAATTGTGTTCACTGGAAGGCGCAGCTTCTGCACAACGCGTGACAGCTGGCCTTCAAAACACTTGGGTCTGCCTTGCGCAACGCGTGACAACTGGCCTTCAAAACACTTGGGTCTGCCTTGCATAACGCGTGACAACTGGCCTTCAAAACACTTGGGTCTGCCTCGCCTGCTCTTGAAGTCATCTACATGACTGTGCTGCAAAACCACCACTCAAACTAGCCTGAGATCTGCTGAGCGAAGTTGTCCATGTAGCATGTCGGAAGCCTTGGCGTCCAGCACTGTGTTTGCGCGGCGCATTGACCCGCAAGATGGCTTCTTTGACGCCAGCCAGCATCTAGAAGAAATCCACAAGCAGGTTGGGGACTTTGATAAGTCTTCGCAAGAAAGAGACTTGCAGGCAATCGATATGTTTTGTGGCGCAGGGAACTTCAACGCAGAGTGCAACAAGGTTGGCATCGCCTGTCAGCCTGTGGACCTGCGGGTCAGCGACAGCCACAATTTATTGACTGCCAAGGGTTTCTGGTGCATCCTGTCCCTGATTTTACGCATTGTTTCTTTGCTGGATTTAGTATGTTTTGTTTCAAAGCCAACATCTGGTAAATGTGTGGTTTGACAGCTCATGAGCGGCGCAGCCCAGGAACTTTTTGGGATGTTTCTTGCTGGGCCGCCTTGCGGCCTATTCGTATTTTTATCCAGCAGCTATCACAGGAGGAGCGTTCACCGGCCCTATGGCGATCAAAGCCGCTTCAAGATCAGGGCATCCAACCAGTTGGTCGTCAACTTCGTCATCCTGCTTTCGATTCTGCATTCAAGGTCAGTTTTTTGGCTGCCACTCGCTTGCAACTGGTCCCCCAAAAAACGATCCAATCTATTTGGCGCTCGTTTCGCGTTCCACACGTCTTTGTAGAGGCTCCTCATTGAACCAAAACCAACATCCCACGTTAATTTCACGGGGGGGTCGGGTTCTGTTTTGCTGGTTTGTTGGAGCCAAGGCTGGAGCAACCAGCAACGTCGTTGTTGTGGTGGTACCCGGATCTGATGCTTTTTATGGAGCAGACCGGGCCGCACCGCATCCATACCTGGATGCGATGTTTTGGGCACGAGCTGCCAAAGCCTACGGTCCTGTGTACAAACATCAAGGAAGCCTTTGCGGGTGTTCTTTCAAGAAAATGGAGCAAGAAACAGCAAGAGCGTCTGGAAGGGCTCATCAAACTGCAGCTCAATCAGTGTTGGGCAACCAAGAGGCTGTGGGCAAAGAAATGGCGCTTGTGCAGAACAGCTATGCGATTCCGCCTGGCTGGAACTTCCAAAAAGAGATGCTACCATTTCAGATCCAAGTCCAAAAGCAAGGGACGCATCTTTGTCAACGGAGGAAAGGACCTTGCGTTGAGTGGTGTCTACACGCCTGCGTTTTGCAGGGCTGTCATTGAAGTGTGGCTGAGGGCGCAGAAGGAAAAATCCGGAGAAATTGCTGGCCATGCGCCACTCTCATATCGCACCTTGTGGGCAAATGTGCTCAAGAGGCCCGAGGAACAGGACATGGGTTTCAAGGGTTTTTCAAAGGGCCAAAAATGTTCCAAACACAGGTTTGGCCTTATGACCAGCCGACGCCCTGCAGGAGTATCAGCTGAGCACCGTGCTCGATATGATGCAGGCCAATTTGCGCCGCGTGGTGTCACTGATGGACGGTTGAGCGGAAAAGGCGCCAGTGAAGGCGCTTACAACTGCACATGCTCATGAGCGCAGACAATCACTTCCGAAAACTCAGGCATGCTCCCCCAAAAGTGTGCGTTTTGGTTCTCAACAAACGCATTCTTTTCCAAATGAAGTCCCAACAAACGCAACGTGAAACCAAACCCTCCCTCCAAGCGCTAAGCCCTTTGCGTTTTGCCCCTCACGAGACTAGTGTCCTCGTGTGAAATCCGAATCCCCGCGGCGCACCCCCAAGAGTGCGGGCGCCGTGCATGTTTCTGTTCGGGGCCCTGAGTTTTGCAACACTACGTCCAGCGTTTCTTGGCGTGCGTGAAATTGAGATACATTTCAACCTAAGAATTTCCAATTTTTCGGATATAAAACATCAATAAAGAAACACATAAATAACACATGTGCATATTTAAATTTTTCCTTTTTTATACAAGGTATGTGTATTTACGTATACATATATAAACATAAAGATATAATACATGAATTTTATTTATATGTGTATATATATACATATATGTATATATGTGTGT